TGGCGATTTGAACCCAACCAATATACTTGTCCGAGGCGACGAGGTTGTCGGGATAATCGATTGGGTTTTCTCTGGCTGGTATCCGCATTATTGGGAGTACACGTCAGCGTGGTGCACTCACATCTTACTGACGGAGTGAGATCTGCTTAGCATTTCCTAGAGCCGTTCCCCGAGAATTGAGGATGGAGAGGACTAGGCAGAGATGGTGGGGAGAGTTCTAGAGGTATTCATACCGACTCTGAATTCCCTGTTGTTTTAAATACCCGCTTGACTCTTTTGTCTCATTGCTCGGAGATGACAGCATGATTGTTAGGTCCATTTGTCTAACAGCTCTCAGCCTGCCTTCAGCCATCATTCCGAACTTACTCTGATTCGTCCTAAGGCACAATCTCCCTGCCTTCCAACATATCCCACGTAGGCCTCGGCAAGTCAGTCAGTGTAACGTCTCTAAAGCGACCACCCTCCGTCTTTTCCCCCGCATACTGCCTCGCGACAGTTTCAATCTCTCCCCAATCTAGTACTGCTCTACCCACGGCTCTACCGTCCTCCCTTAACGCTCTCAACGCATTTGCGACCCAGGTGCGACCCCTCCAATCAGGGTCATCTTGCACAACAGGCACCTCTCGGAATATATTTGCCAGACGTTCCTCATCTATAATCTTGGCGACGAGAACGCGAACGAGTAGGTTGTTTGTGTTGCGTACATCGGGTAACTCAACCTCCTCGTATACCCAGCCGAGGGCCACAGGGTTTTTGACGTGGTAGTGCATGCCTCTGACGGGGTGTTCGCCTTCGACTTTAGGCCCGACCAGAAAGCCCCAGTGGTACCTGTTCTCGAATTGAAGTGTAAGGATATGGATCCAAGCTCGAGAAATTTAGGAGGTTACGTCACCTGCGCTCTTCATTGTTTCCGACACCACTAGGATAGAGAGCGACGTAAAGGCGTTTCTTGTTAGACACCATCTTTAGTGCTCCGTTGAAATTGTTGTAAATAGGAAGGTAAAGATGGTAGCGGTCCTATGGCATCTCTAATTCGATTAAATGTGAAGAATCCGCGAGCATACGGAGGCCGCGAAGAGATTCTTTATATGTATGAAGCATTTACATGCTTTGGTTCCCTCAATGAGAAAGAGTGGTATTCTTGGGCGCCCAAGGACCACCGAAATCACCAACGAGTATACAGACCAGTCCAATGAGTCCCCTGTAGTTCCTGTTAAAGCGGATCTCGGCTTCCCAAAGATTCTATTCACTCATTTTGAAACGACCATACAGGTTGGGCTGAGGTTTTCCCTTTACTCTAGTTACCACTGCCACTGCTGCTGCCGCACCAACACTACTACCTTAGCCACACCATCATCAACAAAGCTGCATCCACATGGCGCAGTGGTTTAGCGCCTGGCTGTCTACGAACCGTGCATGATGCCGCCACCCCTGTAGAGTCGAATCCTGCTATTACGGAAGCCCATATTGTAGTGGTGCGGTAGGACTAGGCCACGAAGCGTTTTTATATATATTTATATGGGTCTCGTATTTATATTTTTATCGATCAGATTTAAACCCGTAGATATTAGAACCTATAGTATTTATTTCTTTTTTACTATACTTTCTTAGTTGCCTTTCTTGCTATCTTATTTCTAGCTTTTTTTAGCTACTATTTTACTTAGCCGATTAATTAATTATAGCTATGAATACTTATAATTAATTAATCGGCTAAGTAAAATAGTAGCTAAAAAAAGCTAGAAATAAGATAGCAAGAAAGGCAACTAAGAAAGTATAGTAAAAAAGAAATAAATACTATAGGTTCTAATATCTACGGGTTTAAATCTGATCGATAAAAATATAAATACGAGACCCATATAAATATATATCCAAAACGCTTCGTGGCCTAGTCCTACCGCACCACTACAATATGGGCTTCCGTAATAGCAGGATTCGACTCTACAGGGGTGGCGGCATCATGCACGGTTCGTAGACAGCCAGGCGCTAAACCACTGCGCCATGTGGATGCAGCTTTGTTGATGATGGTGTGGCTAAGGTAGTAGTGTTGGTGCGGCAGCAGCAGTGGCAGTGGTAACTAGAGTAAAGGGAAAACCTCAGCCCAACCTGTATGGTCGTTTCAAAATGAGTGAATAGAATCTTTGGGAAGCCGAGATCCGCTTTAACAGGAACTACAGGGGACTCATTGGACTGGTCTGTATACTCGTTGGTGATTTCGGTGGTCCTTGGGCGCCCAAGAATACCACTCTTTCTCATTGAGGGAACCAAAGCATGTAAATGCTTCATACATATAAAGAATCTCTTCGCGGCCTCCGTATGCTCGCGGATTCTTCACATTTAATCGAATTAGAGATGCCATAGGACCGCTACCATCTTTACCTTCCTATTTACAACAATTTCAACGGAGCACTAAAGATGGTGTCTAACAAGAAACGCCTTTACGTCGCTCTCTATCCTAGTGGTGTCGGAAACAATGAAGAGCGCAGGTGACGTAACCTCCTAAATTTCTCGAGCTTGGATCCATATCCTTACACTTCAATTCGAGAACAGGTACCACTGGGGCTTTCTGGTCGGGCCTAAAGTCGAAGGCGAACACCCCGTCAGAGGCATGCACTACCACGTCAAAAACCCTGTGGCCCTCGGCTGGGTATACGAGGAGGTTGAGTTACCCGATGTACGCAACACAAACAACCTACTCGTTCGCGTTCTCGTCGCCAAGATTATAGATGAGGAACGTCTGGCAAATATATTCCGAGAGGTGCCTGTTGTGCAAGATGACCCTGATTGGAGGGGTCGCACCTGGGTCGCAAATGCGTTGAGAGCGTTAAGGGAGGACGGTAGAGCCGTGGGTAGAGCAGTACTAGATTGGGGAGAGATTGAAACTGTCGCGAGGCAGTATGCGGGGGAAAAGACGGAGGGTGGTCGCTTTAGAGACGTTACACTGACTGACTTGCCGAGGCCTACGTGGGATATGTTGGAAGGCAGGGAGATTGTGCCTTAGGACGAATCAGAGTAAGTTCGGAATGATGGCTGAAGGCAGGCTGAGAGCTGTTAGACAAATGGACCTAACAATCATGCTGTCATCTCCGAGCAATGAGACAAAAGAGTCAAGCGGGTATTTAAAACAACAGGGAATTCAGAGTCGGTATGAATACCTCTAGAACTCTCCCCACCATCTCTGCCTAGTCCTCTCCATCCTCAATTCCTCGGGGAACGGCTCTAGGAAGATGCTAAGCAGATCCTGCCACTCCGTCAGTAAGATGTGAGTGCACCACGCTGACGTGTACTCCCAATAATGCGGATACCAGCCAGAGAACTCCCAATCGATTATCCCGACAACCTCGTCGCCTCGGACAAGTATATTGGTTGGGTTCAAATCGCCATGCGTGAAAACTGGCCGGGGCCAAGGCCCATCTTGTTTATTGGCCATGTCCTTGACATCATCCCAATCTTCTTGGGTCGCTAGCTTAGGAATTTCGACTTCCGATGGCTGCAAGCCCCCCCTCAGCCACAAGTGGAACTCTTGAATAGTTTTGAAAGGGCCAAACCGGCGGCCGTTCGGACGAGGCATACGGCAATCGAATAACGACCCGCCCGTGCAGCTCTCCACCCCCGACCCAGGACGAGGTTGTAGCGAGCGTAGTTCTTGAATCATAGGCTTCAACTGCGCTAGGAGCTTTTCCTGTGATACTTTAGACCGAGAACCCCAGCCTCTGGGAATAGGATCTCCTTGGATTCTCTCCATCACGATGTATACGCGGCCATTATGTGTAAAGGAGCACCAGACCTTTGGTACCGGGATGGTGGTGTTGTCAGCGATAAATTTCATTGTTGCTGCTTCTGCCAAGTGGACAAAGGAATCGGATTTAACAAGTAGGCGCTTCGAGATAGGAATGCAAGCGCCTTGTCGACGAAAGAGCCGCGCGGTGGTCTTGAGGGCGAGAAGAGTTAGGAAGCGGCGGAGACGAGTGTTGTTGATGGCGGGGATTTCCGGGTCTGCATCCAGGCGTCTCGTGGATGTAGGCATTTTGAAGACCAAGCTTCACTCGTTTGAAAAACGGAGCGAGGATTCCGGTTTCGGAGAAGATGCTGGGGGAGAATTCCCACCAATCTATAGTACGCTCGAGGGTACAGTTTGTAGTAACGAACGAGAGGTGGCGTCGGTAACTGCTGTTCGCAGGTCTGGTTGGGGGGGTGGGCTGGGGGGCACGTATTGTTGCATGACGACTCTATCAGGAAGCAGTCAGTATCAGGCTTGACGCTGTCGGGCAGGAGGCTGGTATGATTCGGTGAGACGTTGTGCAATGGCTTTCTGATAAAATCGCGAGGTTTTGTCGGCGGATGCTGTTTTAAGGACTCGATCGGGGACCAAGTCGTTCCGTAGAGGGCAGAATTGAGCCCTGATAGGATATCCCTACCGTAACGAAATGGGGGGTGTTCAGGGAGTTTTAAGAGTCAGGTGGAGGCCAACGCTAGGACTCCAGGGCTGTGATATTAGTGACCATATGTCACCTGACCAACGGGCCTCGGGCCACCAAAAATCACAAAAGTCGCTAGGTACTTTCTACCAGGTATAACCGTATTATACTACGGAGTCGCATAGCTACAACTGGGAAAAAACTCCACTTTTCGGTACGTATACCCTAGGGGTGTGGTAGGTAGGAAGGTGCAGGTTGAATATTTAATGAGGTCTCAGATCAGCCCAAGTACCTTACCCTAACCTCTAACCAGATTAGGCGATTTTACCGAGCTTTTTCCCTGTTAACTAAATAGGATAGATCTACGGGTATATCTCTTCGTATATCCCATAGACTCTTTAATTTTAAACTTTTTAAAATTAAAACTTCTACGAAAGTTCGAATTACCTACCTACATACTAATTTTAATCGCTAATCGATTAATAACTGATTTAAAATCGGTTAGACATATAATACTTAACGTATTATATTTCATTCTTCTTTATATCTATATCTAAGGATTAATTTCTAATTAATTAGATATAGATTTCGTATCTAATTCTAATGTAGATATAAATCTAAGCCTTAACTTCGAATTAGACCTATCTTAAAATAATAATATTATTACGAACCCTGATAATTAATCTAGAATTAATTCAGAATTATAAGAGCTATAAGAAATTAGATTCGGAACATATAAGAACGCTATAGAAGAAGAATAGGTATTACTCCTAAGTTATAAAAGATTAATTCTTAATTAATTTAAAATCGATCATAGGTCTAAGTAATATACGAAGATCCTATCGTCGATTATACGCTAGAGAAATTAAAATTAATTTCTTCTTATTAAAGCGTTGGAATATATACCGAATATCGTATCGAAACTATAATATAGGTACCGGATATTCCTATATGGCCTATAATAAGTAAGAATGACACTTATTACATTATTAATTAGAAAGGTCGAATAATAAATGATATATAAAAAGCCATGGAAAAGGTAATTATTTCTTAATTAATTAGCTACTATTTTATAACCGGCTACTAATTAATTATAGGTATTATTTTACTATATAAAATATAGTTTAATAAAATCAGGTTCTAGTGCCTTTTTCAACGACGCTCCTTATTCTTATTCTTCCTATACCTATTAAGAAGGAGCAGAGCGTACGCGATACTAGAGACCCGGATATGTTCACTCGAAAGTATACTCTATCGAAGACTATAGTACGTACGATGGTCTAAGACGGATGAAACTAATATCGCTATATTAATCGAGAGATAAGGAATTTAATGTAGTTATCGTATCTTAGTTATATCCCTTAGTCGTAAAGATATAGTAGTCGCTAGCCCGAAGGCATAAAAGGTAAGGGAAAAAAAAGGGTAAAACGTAAAAGTTACTTATTCGGCTATAACGGTACGACGAAGTAACTTAAGCGCTTATAATTAAAATAAATACATTAATCGGAAAACGACGAATCTAATAATAAAAACGAATCTTTAATTAAGGTAAAAATAATAAAGATAGTAATTTAGCTAGATAATAAACTAAATAATAAGCATAGCATATCCCGTACTTACGGAAGCTATGGTTATTTTATATAGGTATAAGGCCTATCGTAGCGTATTACGTAATATATTAAGAAGGTATGTCTTACCGTATTATTATAGCTTCCTTAGTTTAATTATATCGTAAGGAATAATTAAATTAAAAAAGGTAGTACGGTATATCTCGATTAATATCTTTCCTTAAAAACTACCGCGAAACTCTATTCTACCGGTTATTATTTAACTATTACCGTCGTATTTTTAGCTTTTCGTTTAATATTATAAGGGAGCCCTTTTATTACTTTATAGCTAACTTAGCCCGGTTTACCTTCGCCGATTTAACCCGATCGGCGTTTTCCTTCTTTATTTCGGCTACCTTCTTCTTAGTTTCGTCCTAGCTTTCTTAGTTAAGAGGATAGTAGGGGAGCGGGCGCGTTCCGAGGGTTAACTAGGTATCTCCCCTTTACTTATTATAGTAGTGCGGTAAGACATGCCCTCTTAATGCATTACGTAATACGTTACGATAGGCCTTATGCCTATATAGAGTAACCATAGCTCCCGTAAGTGCGGGATATGCCATACTTATTATTTAATTTATTACTTAGTTAGATTGCTATCTTTATTATTTTTACCTTAATTAAAGATTCGTTTTTATTATTAGATTCGTCGTTCTCCGATTAATATATTTATTTTAGTTATAAGCGCTTAGGTTACTTCGTCGTATCGCTATAACCGAATAAGTAACTTTTACGTTTTACTTCTTTTTTTCTTTTACCTCTTATACCTTCGGGCTAGCGATTACTATATTTCTACGACTAAGGGGCATAGCTAAAATACGATAACTACATTAAATTCCTTGCCTTTCGATTAATATAGCGATATTAGATTTATCTATCCTAGACTATCGTACGTATTATAATCTTCGATAAAGTATACCTTTAAGTAAACCTATCCGGGTTTCTAGTATCGCGTACGCTTTACTTCTCCTTAGTAGCGATTACCCTATAACTCTTTCGACCCTTTAACCTTTAATCTACGGAGTTTTTATTACGCTACTAGGATTTAAAGGATACCGATCGCCGTCGGCGCCGTTATTTAACCCGCGAAGTAGCCCGCGTTTTACGTTAAATAAAATATCCCGCCTTATGGTTATTTATTTACTATAGGGAGGTACGTATAAGCCCGGGAACTTTTCTAACGATACTATAACTATTAGGATAGCGCTTAGCCCTTAATACCTATAACGTTAATAAACTATCGATACTACGATATAATACGACGATTAAACCGCGTTTATACCGATTAAGATATCCTTCGTATGGTTATTTATTTACTATACGGAAGAACCCGTAAAACCCGGGAGAACTTTCGTCGTAATACTACCGCTATTAGGGATAATACTTAGCCTTCGATATTAACCGCTTCCTCGAACCGCTAATAATATAGTATATCTCGTACGAGTAAATAAAGGTTATAGTAATTAAGGCAGCCCCCTTATAATTATCTATCTACTATATAAATTAAACGTACGAACGCCTTAATATAAATTACGATAACCTATACGACCCGTTACTTCCTTACTAATACTAAAGGCGAATAAAGGCTAATAGTAATTATACCCTAACCGACCTTACGATAGTTTCTTTTTTCCTTTAAACCTATTAATCGATATAAATTAAATATATAAATACTAATAACTTATTATACTAGAGGCATTTTAAGATACCTAAGCGTAACGACTCGACGATATAGTATACGATATAACATGGATATTTATATTAATAGTATAGATAGGATTAATAAACTAATAGCTATTAATAACCGATAGTTTTAAAAAGAACTAGGAATTAATATTAATAAGACTACGTAAATATAAAGGATTAGGAAAACGGAATTAAAGTCGAACTAATAAGTATACCTATATATAGGTTAGCTTTATATTACTAATTAATAGTTAATATAACGAGAAGTATTAATATAGGCGTAAAACGGCGCCTAGCGGTAATACCGTTAATACTATTAAATAACCCCCGTTAGATCGAGACCGGCTTATAGCTATAACCGGTATCGTATCTAGCGCGATCCTTTATTCGGGATCTATTCTTTATACGTATTACCTTAACGAAGGTTATACGTTAAAAGTTCTGGACTTTAATAAAAGGAATTATCGTCGACTTATTTATAATAATTAAACTATTAATTTAAGGAATACGTATCGTATTTTAATTAGGCGTTAGCCGACTAAAGAAGCTCGTATAATATCCGAATCCTATCGATCGGGATAGTATAATAAATAATAATATACCTATATTAAAGGAAAAGTATTAGGATATAGATAATAACTATTATACCTTTACCCTTATGTTAGATAATAAAACCCTTACTACCCCCTTTTTTATTTTATACCTCGTATCGATAGATTAAACGAAATCCGTAGCTAGGAAACGGAATAAATCGCCGTTAGAACCCGAAGTAATAAAGATTAAATTATTAATAAAGACCTTAAGAGTCGATATTAATTCTCCGCCTCTATATCCGCCCGAAGAGGAAGAGGACGACGATAAAACTCTTACTTAGTTACCCCTTACCCGCGGCTCTATACTTATTCCGCTAATCCCTATGGTATTATTTTAAAATAATAATAACGGGGCCTTTAATAGCTAGAATATACCGATAGTTATCCCGACTATCGTAATATTAGTCATTAAGTTCCTTAACCTTACCGATTACCTTAGGCTTAAGTTTAATAAATATAATATAACCTAGTAACTAAAGAGGGTAGATCGATTATTTAATCGCTACCGTATAAGCGACGACGATAAGATTAAGAAAATCGGCGAATAGATTACGATTAAAACCATTAGGAAGCGTATTAACGACGTTACGAAGAATTAAACGATCTAAAGAGTTATCGTTATAGCCTTAAAGTATCGTTTTAAGATTACCGATAAACTAAGCTAAGTTAACGTTAAACGTAAACTCGTATAGCTAGAGCGAGGTAACGTAATTAACGATCTTAAGGCGATTTTTACGTATCTTATAAACTATAAACGCCTTTCCAAGCTCGCGAACGATAACGGAAAGCTTCCCTAGAAAGTAGGATACTTAACCGATAAATTCCGGATATCCTTAATTATAAAGTTCTATAAAACGGAAGATTATAATTATAATAAGATCGGAGATATCGACTACCGGATTCTTTATACCTAGCTTTATAAGTAAGCGGAACGTCGTATAGTAATATAAATTACCGATAGGACCTAAGCCGAGGAACGACGATAGTAAAAAACGGTAACTTTCGAGGAGCCCGAGAAGCCTATAATATAAATAATTTAACGATTAGCGACTTCTAGCCTTTAAATACCTCTACTACCGCTTCTCTCGTAGCTTAAACCCTTTTACGGCTACCTAAATACTAGTTAAGAAGCTAGTATATAAGCCCTCTACGACCGACTTAACGCTCTAGAGATAAAAATAACTTCGTAAAACTACCGTTAGGAGAGTAATTTTTATAGCCTTAAGGATACGTACGACGCCGATTAATAATATTAATA